GGACTTGTATGCATGCATATAAGCATAACCAATGGACACAAGACACTGGGGGGTAGGGGAGGCCGGGGGAATGTCAAAGAGTGGGAAAAAGGAGACAAATGTACTACTCTTTGTAATACTTTAAACAATAAAACAAAATTTTTAAAAAAAGAGACTATGGGACTGAAAGGCCTCGGTAACAGCGTGCCTCCTGCTTCGGTGTGAAACACATTTCATCTCTCTAGTGCAGTGATGGCGAACCTATGACACGGGTGTCAGAGGTGACACGCAAACTCATTTTTTTGGTTGATTTTTCTTTGTTAAATGGCATTTAAATATATAAAATAAATACCAAAAATATAAGTCTTTGTTTTACTATGGTTGCAAATATCAAAAAATGTCTATATGTGACACGGCACCAGAGTTAAGTTAGGGTTTTTCAAAATGCTGACACGCCGAGCTCACAAGGTTCGCCATCACTGCCTAGTGACCAGGTAGCACGCCGGGCTCTCCGCGGCGGAGACTGCACGTGACTGCGATCCTGAGCGGGAGCCGCATCTATGCCGACCCGGACGGTCATCAGTCTCAGGATGGAAGTGGCTCTCTAAGCAGAGTCCAGGTTAAGTCAGATCCTTGAGTGTGGTTGCGCGAGTGTGGGACATTCCTGAGGAAATGGTTCCTTTCTGAGCTGCCCCTCCTCCCACTGCCACTGACTCCCCTGGAGCTTCAAAGTCGCCTGTCCCAGCAGGCACGAGGGGGGGGCGTGGCCAGGGCCTTCCGCAGACACAAGCTCAGTCCCTTTGCTGGGAGCAGGTGGAGCAGACCATCAGCTGTTTAATAGAGTCCACCCCTCCTTGTTCTCAGGGCAAAAATTCAGGTTTGTGCTTGACCATTACACACTCAAGTATAAACTCCCTACATGGTTTCTTCGACTTAAAAAAATAAATCATAAAAATCACACACAGACCCCGTAGGTGTGGCTCAGTGGCTGAGCATCGACCTATGAACCAGGAGGTCATGGTTCGACTCCAGGTCAGGGCAGAGGCACAGGTTGTGGGCTCCATCCCCAGTGTGGGGCGTGCAGAAGGCAGCTGATCCATGATTCTCTCTCCTCATTGATGTTTCTATTGCTCTCTCCCTCTCCCTTCTTCTCTGAAATCAATAAAAATATACTTTTTAAAAATCGCACACAGAAGTAATCGTAATGGAAACCAATGGGTGTTCGGGAGGACTCTCAATGTTCTGCCTGCGGTCCTGGGTGCTGGTTACACAAGTGTGTGTTTCAGGAAAGTTCGCCGAGCTTTTTATGTCTCTGGATGAACGATATACTCTGAGCCATGGCTTCTTCACTTGTGAAGTGAGATTAAAAGCTATTTGAGCCCTGGCTGGTTTGGCTCAGTGGATAGAGCGTCAGCCTGTGGACTGAAAGGTCCCAGGTTCAATTCAGGACAAGGGCATGTACCGGGTTTCGGG